ATATATTGGATTTTTTAATGAATTTATTATTCCAATCCTTTTTTAAATATAATTTTAATTATGGATTGCTCAATCTTCAAAATATATATATTTGTCATTTATTTAATATTTCACAATAGTGTAGAATTTACATAACAAATTTTATATTAAATTTGACACATTTCAATGTGTATTTTACACAAGAATTCAAAATGAACTATTTGAGAACTTAAAATTATTTCACGTGTATGACATAGTGGCATTTTTATGTACAAAAGAAGTAATTTATTTATTTAGAATAAATATATATATATGCGATGTGATTTAAAAATTAATATAAAATATTTAATATTTAATTCTCCAAAATATATAAATGTATTTGAAAATAGATCAAACCATAAAAATAAATCTTTAAATATATGCCTTTTTAATTATAAAAATATATAAGACTCTATATAAAAAGTTGTACGACGTGAAATACGAATATACTGTGTATTTAAATACCTAACTGAGGGTGTCGCTATTTCCCAGGATCACTGTCAGTTCTTATCTCCCAGGACGACAGTAACGTCTCTTTCATCTTAGAAACAGCCGCCATCTTGATAAATAGATCAGTTGGTTTGTAGTTCCCGTATGTAGTGAGAGGACACCCATTTCCTTCGTTGTCAGCCACCACGTCTAATTTAGAGTCTGGAATTTTCTCTCCTTTGCTCCTGTGTGCCTCACCACTTAGGTGACCACGACTGCCAGCACCATATTGCATATATGTCGTAACACTAGCAGTCATCGGGCCCAGTGGATTCAGGCGTCTATGGGTAACTCAAACGACGAAGAAGGTTGGATCACACCTAAAAGAGAGATCAGCGCCGAAGACTGCTATTGTTTGGCCCGTTTATTGACATCCGGCGGTGGTCGTAAAACTGACTAACGACTTATGGAAGTTCCTCCGAGAGAAATTTACATAATCATGGTGAAATTGGACCTTTCCTTGTCTTGTGTGCAGCTGTCTCAATAAATCTTTATTACATTGTGATTACATGATGACTAAGCTGGCGCGTTGAATTATATCTACATTTTATAATTATGGTGAAAATATAATGTATATAGACATATATATTACTATTAAGAAAAAGGCATCTTCTTATCGAGCAACTGAAAGTTGCTAATGGCTTGCGCCATCTATCGGAATAAATATCAACTATTCTCGTTGATTTTTTAATTATTCCAGAATTGGCCAAATACCCATTCTTGATTAATCAAGAAAAGCTAACCACGGACGTGTTTCGGGCTGTTGGCCCTCATCAGCGTGGTGCAAGCTGTACCTCAACGACCAAAATAAATTGGTCATTAAGGCATCCGGAAAAATCATGAATCGGGTAGTTAAGGCCAGAATTGCGTGAGAACGCTACACAATGTGGAAAAAATAGTACAAATGTAATATTGTACTGGGATAAGGTGCATAAATAGTTGGACGATAATTCCATATATTACTATATATGAAAATTTTGCCGAGAGGATATTGATCTAAAAAAGAAAAAGGTCGCCTCTCCCGTCAAAGCTAGACGTCATCTATTTACGGCGACGGCCAATAAATGGAGTCCAGCTTTGACGGGAGAGGCGACCTTTATCAATTTTAGATAACTATATATATATAATTTTAAAATAAACATTCGTGCAAATATTTTTCCTAAATAATATATGCGCAATTTAAATAAAACATTTTAATGTTAAAAACATTTATACACACAAGCTATATATAGAAAAATGCATTAATAGATAAATTAGTGAGACTTCTACACACTGAATAAAAGAAGCAATGTAAATAAGCACATTATAAAGTAGTATTTTCATATCATCCTTATGTTGGAAATACATTCCTCACCGTTGAAATTACAACACTATAAACAGCCCGAAAGACGTATCAAAAGATTGGGTTGGCCAAATATCATGGAACAAGTTAAATCAACGTTTAGTTGATTTTTGTTACACTAGATGGCGCTCTGCCATCTAAAAATGCTCATGTATGCGGTCAGGATTAGTCTTTTTTGCTTTCAATATTACTTTTTATATCGTTGGAAAATCAATGCTAATATGCAAATATATTTTACGCAAATAAATTAACTGGCAATGCGCTTTTTATTTATTTATTTATTTCCTCTCAAATTTACAGTGTACCATTCGAGCATAAAGCTCACGAGTCACTTTGTCGTGGATGTTAGGCATCAAGAATTGCGCTTTTATTTGTGTAAAATTTTAACGATATATGGTAATTTAATTTACAAATATATTTTTGTTAACTATATCTTAACTATATACAATAAACATAACGTACTCAGTAGGTAGACAATGTAACTGACAAGTTTGGCGAAGTCTACCATCTACAAGTACCATCTTGGGGTTGAGTTGAGTAACGTCAGCTACCTCATCGACCTGCCCACTCTATAGGAAAGAACTCTTGCAGTCCATCGGTGACGGATTCTAACCCGCGTTGGGCGCCCACAATGAAGACTGTATATATTTTATGTGTATATATATATTTATTATTAATATTGGCAAATAAATCTTTTATTCAATCCAATATATGCCTTTTTATTATCTAATGATTTAAATATGGATTGCTCTATTTTCAAAATATTTATTTATCATATTTTTTTATGTTATATATTAATCGCTATATTCCTTTATAGCAGCATAATTTATTTACATATGTAACACACATTTACTATTGTTTATTTTTAACAACCATATAGAGCCTTATAATACGATGTAATAAAAGTAGTTTCAATATCAATCTCTGAATGTAGAAGTTTAGAAAATATATAACGGTATATTGCGTTTTAAAGATTACTTGAATTGTTTAATTAATGTGTTGTGTCAACTTTTTACAATTATTTACTGCATATGTAAATATAGTGTGAAGGCTTGGTTCATCAGAAGAGAACCTTCCCAGTGATTTCGCCAATTTACCAAATCTAAGCTACAACTATTGTCTGTTCGTCTGTTTATATATTCTGCACTTGAAAGTCTTATCGTTTCTTATTTGCATACTTTATCTAGTAGTTAACAAACTGGTTTCTTTTATAAGTCGAGCTTGTTTCTTTTATCCCTAGCTCGTGATTACCAAAACCTCGTTATTTGATCAAACTTCCTTTTCAAGAATTTAATATCGGGATTTTCTCCGCGCGGTAATAAAACCAGAGAAAGGATTTATGACCAAGGAATATAGAAATTCCCTTACAAAGTTAAAGAGAAATAAAATACAGCGTGGATGCAATAAAATACTATTTACCCGGGCCACGTGGAGTCTTTATGACTGTTATGTAAACCTTTTACTCATAAGACGTGTTGGACAATTATGTGGAGCCACATCTATTTACATATATCCCCGTGTAAATATACATAACTAGGATTTACAATAGTCCGATAATATGTGCATACACTCAACTATTTATCTAATTAATATATATATAATATATAGTTAAAATATAACACACAATATTAAATATATGAAATTACACACGACAACAACAACATAAAAATTACAAATAACAAAATAAAACAAGCTTTTTTCCTTTGCTCTATTATGCTTTCCGTTAAAGAATACATTCAAAACTTACGGACATATAATTATATGAGAAAGCCCATACGTGTATGTGAGGAAAAAATATTTTTTTCTCAGAATATTTCGAGGTTTTGTTCCCTTTTTATCGATTTATTGCACGAAAAACTTAAAAGTTTTTTGTTCAATAGATTGATAAAGAGGGAGAAAAATCCCTCAAAATATTTTGAGAAAAAAATGTTTTCCTTTACAGATCCGGGAGTACGACCCTATATTTCTATATAATTATTTATATGTAAATGTTAAAACTTCTGTATTTGCATATTTTCCGTGTAGAAATAGCGTTGAATCGAACCAACAACAAAATTGACCCAATTATTCAAAGTGAGTTTTCCTAAAAACTGCTAATTTGAGTTTTTAAAGAAAATAACACACTCTGGTTAGTTGATAACCAAAATAATGAGTATAGTTATCTAAAATGTAATTTTAATAAATAGGATTATAAATTGTTTTCTTCACGTCTAACTAACTAATAGTATTATTCTTTCTAATTTTACCCCGAAAATTGGGGGTTAACCAAGTAAACTAAACTAATTTAACCCTACTTAGCCTAACATAATTATGGTTTAAAGGGAGAATTAACTATTATAAAAATCAATTCAACTCGATAATTTAACGGTAAATAGGAGTTCTGTCGTTATAATTGAATGCGGAAGTTTGGTGAAATAGTTGTATGGAGTTTTTACCATTTGCCTTCATCCATTATCGCCTCAGTTTCCATTAATGCCAAAGGCTCCGTGAATTTCTATCTATATAAACGTCTATGTAAAAATATTCACACAAAACATATTTTTTCATCATTATTTTCCCTAGTACAACGTGGTACATGCCATGATAATTATGGTGGGTAGAAGTTAGAGACTGCTTTTACTGTAAGTATATCACATGTCATATGTGAAAAACACATTTAGACTTTTGAACTTACAAGTGTACCTTTTTTTTATCCTTTTATTAGTCTAAATTAGACAAGATCTTGGAGTTCATGCTCATAAAGAAGTTCAAGAACTCTTCTTGGTTCTCTTGTACAGAGATCATTTGTTCTTTCCAATACAATATGCACGACTCCATATAGGTTATATGCCAGTTACGTTAAAGCGCTGGCCAAGTGTACAAGTGTACCAAAGTTTGATTTGTTGCATTCGCTGGTGGGGCTTGAACATTCGCAATAACCGATGGTCATTGGACAATATGTTTTTAAAGCAATACTTAAAGTTTAACCGCATAAGTTTCTTTTATTTGTGAAAAATCAATTTTAATTTCAAAGAGAAATATCTAATATTTCTAACTTTTTGGATGACGTATGAAAAGGTTGAATATATGAAGAGTGATGGTCTATATATGATTGGATGACGTATGGAAAGGTGAAAATATGAAGAGTAATGGCGAACGGAAAAATAAAAGTGTCCAAGGACCGGAATCGAACCCACAACCTTCTGCTTACCGGGCAGGTGCCATGTCCACTAGGCTACCCTGGACGTATTTCTCCGTTCGTAACTAATAAAATATGTTTTTAATTAGAAAAAAAGTTCCCAATGTGTGTGTAGGTTCCGATCCCGGGTCGAAGTGGTCGAAACCCAACGGTTTAACCACTCGTCGTCAACTAATCTGAGAATTGATTCACCAGAAATAAATTTAACGACAATTATCAATTATAATTTACATTTACCAATTATACCTATTTGCATATGCTTCGCTTTACAATTTTGACACCCTAATATGATTGAGTGGAGATAAGAAAGAAGAAGAAGACATATGCTTCAATAGCAAATTCCAGATGAAAATAAGCTGCAAAATAGATTTGTTTTTCATAAAATTGAAAATCAACATTTCAAACAATTATAGGTATTTGTCAAGTTATAGAAAATAGATATTTATATACGAATTCAATCAGCTATATAAATACTTCAAATTAATATCCACAGAAAGAAAAATAAAATCTATATCGGGAAAGTTTAGTCGATTAGTTTTTTAATTGATTTCTTCAATAAAACCTCCCTCTGTTTGGAGAAGTAAAAACACTTGAGAATTTTAATTTCGATACCACTTAACATTCAAGTTTAAAAACAACATTTCTGTTAATATATAGGGAAGCTTTTTTTGTTTTCTTCAAGAGAAACTGACTTTTTTTATCTAGAGAGCATCTTTTCGAAGAAAATGTATGGGTATTGAAAAAAAAAAAGAGTGAAAATTACTGACAATGCTCTTAGAAAATTCTAGAATTATTAGAATTCTGAATTAAAACAATCCATGAATATCACCCCCCCGCTCCCCTTTATGTTATCTATATTCGGATTTTTATATTCATCAGTATTCTTAAATAGATTAATTATGTAGATAAGTATAGAGATATAAGTGTAAATTTAATAGGTAGAAATATTTGTGAAACATCAAAACTTGCTTGTACCAGTTCTGATCAATGCCTCCGCCATTTTTAACTTTTGTCATATAAATATAATTGCTTAATGGTTTAACCCTAAAACTTTGTTTTTCCTTCTAACTGAAATTTTAAATATGTGTTTTAATAAAACGCTTATTCAATATATTTTTGTGACCCTTTTTCAAGTTCTCTCTTTAGATAGTTTCTCTACTGAAATCTAAAATTAGATGCGTTCACCGTAAAAGACTATTTAAAAAAATATGTTTACTACTTGCTCACTCACGAGGTCAATACTATTACGTTAAGCTTTTTTTAAATAGACGCCTACGTAATAAATATATTTTTTGTCATTCACAGAATTAATACTGGTAAATAAGGGCAGTTTTAGATGATTACCGTGATGTAGCACTGGTGTAGCACAATGTCGTTACACCTTAATGCAGCTAACAACTACGCCTTGATAAATGTCGGTATTCTACCAAACAGAATATTATAATAATCAAAACAAAATAAGCTATTCATTTTTTGAATATATGTTATCGCTCAAAAGTTTCTTTCATCTCATTCACTCAAATTCGTAAAATAAAAGTCATAACCGGAATGCGAACTCTTGCAATAAGGACTCTGATACTAACGCTCTGGCTACTAAGCCAAGATGGTAGGTTATATAATAGGCTGCTGTTCAAATTACCACATAGTTCCCAGTAGATGTAAGTTGTGAGGTTCTGAACAATTCCAACAAGGGTGATGAGAGAATTTGATAGAGATCACACTGCTGAATACAATCACTGAGTATTGTTGTACCATGGATTGTAAGAGAAGAGAGACAGAATGGCTAGAAATATCTTGGACAAGAATGATTCCCTTTACTCGGCATAAATCTTAACTCCGTGATAAGTACCAAGTTTTTTAAGTTCAGAATCTTTACAAGTACAACGTTCCAAGGCGCAATGTCTTCCACAAATTCAGAATCGGCAATGTGCTAATTCCGATTCTCTCAAGTAAAAAAGAATAACAAGTTCCTCTGAATCTCAAAGATTTATCTAAAGTTATAAGTTTTCAGAAGAAATATAAATTGTCCAAGTCCAAAAAAATAAAGAAGTGTTCCAGATACTACAACATGATAGATCAATGCCCAATCGTAACCCAAGGCACGTACATTCTAACCCATGTATCTTTTTACTACAAATAGCTAGTACACCGGGGCTTAGTAAAAATTCGGTACTATAATGGTTAGGTCAAATGAACGTTTAGTTCATTTGTATTCGAAAATAGAGAGAGCACATTGTCATCACTAATTTATTTTTTCTTTGTTAAAATCATTTCCCCATATTTTCGTAATAGCGTAATTGAATATCATCTATATTCATTTTGGGGGAGGTATGTTTACACTGTGTTAAATATTTAAACTATTTTAAATATATATATACATTTTAATTTCTATCATACAAACTAAAGGTCACCTCTCCCGTCAAAATAGACGCTAAAACCAAGCCCCATCTATTATATTCATTTTAATATATCAATTTCTCCTCCCGGCAAAATATATATTTCCATCTAAGTTTATTTTTGTAAGAAGGCAACAAAATTTATATTACATAGCGGAGTTTGTAAATGTAGATTTAATAATTACATATTTACCCAATTGCATATGTTCCGTTGGTCCCTTGCACAGTTTGTAAACTTATTGGTATGCGAGCTGATGGAATTCCAAGTTTTTTCTGCAGGTTGGCTGATCAATTCTCAGGTATGAGATAGTATGCATATATGTACATATTATATATGTGTTCTTTTGGTTTGTTGTTCTTTCCAGGAGAGGCATAAAGCTTTCTACCTTGAAAAAAGTAAAAGTGGGTTACCGAAAGGTCAAATAACAAACCTTTTGAGAATTGATGAATCTACTTCTTCAATTAAATGTACAGTAGCAAGTAATTTATGTTGTTTATCCTCGTCTACGTTTCATATTCAGATTTTTTCTAGATTTAATTCAGTATGTAAGCAAGAGTTACCCAGGAATTATTTGAAAAAAAAAAATAATGTTTCCCTTTTCAAATAATCCAGTATTAGTTGTCAATTTATAACATCCTATTAATTTTATGTTTGTTACATTGAAGCAGCCCTCTGTAAAGTCTTTAGAGATAATATTTTGATGATATATATGAAAAGAACACATTTTTAAAAGTAATTAATACAAATTTTATTGTTGCAGAAGATTAGTGATGCATTAAGGGGAATTCCAAAGAATTTCTATAAATATTGTGGCGAAGAAATAATTCAGATTATAAAACTATATATGTTATATTAAAATATTATTTTATTTTAAATTATAATTTCATAGATTCAAATACTCTGCTAAATCGACCGCCAGAGGTCACGCTTCCCCTATAAAAACTCGTTGTTGTTTTATCCCAATGGCCGGCTCAAAACTTTTGTACATTATGTAAATAATATTTTGTTTTTCCTTATTCTACTCGCCTTAAGCCAGGTATTACTTTTATCAAATTATGTCTTTTATACATTCCTTTGCTCAATTAAAGCAGCCTCTGATCAAAACCATTATTATTTTTATTTCAAGATTTTTAAACCACGACTGCATTACATTACCATATCATTATCATATATTAATCTGTATTTGTAAAATCATCTTTAAAATATTTCTTTTCTTGCTTGTTCAAGATTCTCTAGCTGTAGATAGTTTGGTTAATTTGTTAATATTTGTCTCTGGTCGTGGTGACGTTATCAATAAATACGCTTACATCTCAAAATATTCCAAAACTAATTTTCTACGCTACAATATTGTGCATTTTCAGTCTAGTTCTAATAAACATCTGAGGGACGCCATTAGAAGTGTAGAGGCGGCTGCAGGCGTGTTACAATATATTTATAATTCAAGAATTAATTACTAAATCACATTAAATTTAGCTAGTAATTTTATTATCGTTTTTATACGAAAACAAGCGTGTTCTTTGTCTACAACAATAACATGAGAATTTATGATGATTATATTTTTAGAATTAAGCTGTTGTTTTTTTATTTTGGTATTTACAATTATTGATTTAAAATATTAAGAAATAAAATTATATGAAATAAAATAATATTATTTAAAATTATAAGAAATAAAATGATATGATTCCCTACAGAAGTGTAGATTACGAGTCTATATTGTATAGGTTAATGTTGGAAGAGTAGTTTCATGTTATAAATATACATTATATACTATTTTACACCGTATACGTGTTTAGCCAACAAATAGAGAAAAGATAACTAAAAAATAGAATAAATAACCCAGATAATTAGTTACCCTATAGTAACCAAGAAAGAAACTTTTCTTCGTATAAAAAAAATATTCGTTAATAAAAGATTAGCTCCTTTTATTTCAACAGCTCACACATAAAACAAAATATTTTTATCCCCAGACGCCAAATTGAAGGAATGTGCTTCCCGCTATTTCAGTAATTGGCTTCTAATTGGCGGGAATTTAGGCTTGGATCTTAGTGCAGGTGTTCAGTAAACCTCTATTTTAGACCTGTATGTCAGATCACGTGTTGCTACCCTTTTATTTTCGACCTAAATTTCAACCCACATATTCAGCATCCCTCTATTTCAGACCTTACTTTTAATCACACAGGTATAAACCTCCCTATTTTAAACCTATCTTTTAATATACATGTTAAATATCTCCCATATTTTAGGCCTATCTTTCAACCTTCATGTCCAATACCCCTCTATTTAGACATTACCTCCAACCCAAATGTTCAATACCCTTCTATACCCACATGTTTATCACCTCTCTATTTTAAACCTATCTTCCAACCCACATGTTGAATATCCTCCTATTTTAGGCCTGTCTTTCAACTTCATGTCCAATACCCCCTCTATTTAGACCTTTCTTTCAACCTTATGTCCAATATCCCCCTATTTTAGGCCTATCTTTCAACCCAAGTGTTCAATACCCCTCTATTTAGACATTACTTTCAACCCACATTTTCAATACCTTCCTATTTTAGGTCTATCTTTCAATCCACATGTTCAGCCTCCTCTATTTTAAACCTATTTTTCAACCCACATACTCAGCTTCTCTATTTCAGACATAGCAGG